ACTGTGTTATATATGTTTTTAAAAAAAATTATGGAGCAACCCTCGTATTTAAACTATTTAACACTTGCACCTATTTAAATATTAAAAGCCAAAATGTGATAGATTCATCAAAATAAAAAAAACCAAAAAAAAAATGCTTATAAATTTTGCTAAATATCTCATTTAGTGGGCCGACAGTAATGAACCGTCCAAATATAAGGTGTATGCTTCATTTTTCACGTACAAATTATTATCTAATAGGCGTGGTTCTATTGCGGTTGTCGGATTAGTTGTATATTCCATACAACGAGATAATAAGACATTTCCATATAATATTGACTCATATAAGTTCTTTGTGCAGGTTGGTTGTTTTATTCTCATATAGCATTTATTTTGAACTTTGAAATAAAATTCTGCCACTTCATCGGCGATTGGTGTATTCACATCACTTAAACACTTATCAAAACTACGTTCGCAACTGCAAAGGTAAATGCGGAAAGAATTCTCGTTCGTCAATGACATTCGTACACCAAAAATAGTTTGCCCAGGTTGTATATTGGTACATTTGCTATGTTCATCGATGCAATTTTCCAATTTAATTGCCTATTTAACAAAGATTATAGTAAGAAAGATTTCGATATACACAGCGAATTTTAGCGACGTTCTGAGTCATTTTAAAGCTAAATAAATAAAATAACAATTAGTGATAAAAATGTCTTACCGTCGGTGACGATAATATCGACTCTACTAGAGCTACTACGTAAATTACGGTAACAATTAAATTTGTTTTTTTCATTTTCAAAAAATCAGCGTAGATAGTACTGAAACTTATAGTATATTCTTGAAATGTTCAAGTCTTTTATACTGATTGATACTGGTTGAATACGTCTTTGCATATTTCAAAATGCAATTTAATTCAATTCAATTCCATTCAATCCAATTCAATGTAATTTATTTACATAGCCAAACACTTGAACTACTTGGCTGAACTTAAGTACAGACATTGTACTACATTATAACTCAACGTAATTTAAATAAATATAACAATTAGGTGTAAATATCAATATCAATATCGAAAGATAGTTAAATGTAAAATAATCGAATCGAATTTGTATCTACGTTTCTAATACAAAATGATATTTACATTGACATTGACATTGAAAAATGGCTCCTAGCGATATATATACGCGTGCCGTATGGGCATTTACGTTAAAATCAACAATATTGAAAAAAATTAAGAACATTCCAATTATCAACGATCTGTCAAACAACAATGA